TCAACATGCGTAATACTATAATCACCTTGATAATTGTAACCTTACACTATAATTGGGTAGATTAGTGCACTAGCTAGCTCAGTGTATTGACCCCTTGATCGATGTCATGACCCAAATCACTTCACTAGGAGCAGAGCCTCTCATAGTAAATCATTCATTATTAGACCTTTAAATCATCATTAACTTATCAGACATAATTGGGATAGCTCAAGTTAGCCCAATTGATTATATACACCACCTACACTCAATTGAGTCCTAGATGAATCCTTATCTTCATCAAAATTCTATGATTATCATTCCTAGTGGATTAGGCCTGAATTGTCACCCTGACCCATTCAATAGTTGACTTGGTCAACTAAACACGTGCTTGGTCAAACCAATTCCATTTAGGTTATTTCAATGAATTTAATCAAAAGAAACATCCTAGCCTCTCATAATTACTCCCTTACAGGGTTTAAACCCCTCCAAACTTTGCATAAGTCAAACTGTGGTTTGTTTGACTTGGTCAAACCATCATGCGAGGTCAAATTCTACCATATATTGACTCACTTGCTCAAACATCAAGCTCACTACCTCAAGACCTTGGATAATGATTCTAGAAACACGTACTCCTTAAACTCCACGTCAGCAAGCTTGGACTAGTTGAGTGGTCAAATAGTCAACTCAAGACTTGAATGGTCAAACATTCTATCATATGCATTTCCCTCTATACCAGCCCATCCATCCCATTTAAATTAACTCCAAAAGCTTCCTGGAAATTAATATGACCTATCCCAGCTTTTGGTATAACCTAACCAGCCTAGGTTCTCCCCCATGTGAGAATAACACAAGGACATTTTCTACTTAGCCAGCTCGTTCCCCTTGCTCCCAATGGCTTGGGACACTTGTCCAACATCTAGGTAATTCACCTGATGAATCCCAACCATCCAAATTCTCTTCAATGGATTGAATTAGAGAAAGCACTTGAGATGATCATTGAGCTTTCACACTCTCCATATTTATTATCCTATGTAACTCTAATTTTGTTTCGCCACACCATAGAAGTCCCTGACCATTTCCCTGATCCTTCTATAATATTTGGAGCTCACCGACAATAAGGTTGACAAAGGACTACAACACCCTCCATCAATCCCAATTAGTCAAACTTCCTATCTAGGCCTTCTTGAAATTTGAAGTATTCAGGAAGTTTATAAAGGAACTCCAAACAAGGAGAAAAACCTCAAGCCTCCTTAGAGACTGTTTGTATGAAGGAAAAATTGAAACCATAGATATTTATCTAGGTTCTCAAATAGATTAATATACAATCCATAAATGACCTTGGAAACGTCTCCCCACTCTTGTTTTAAAAATATTCCATCTTAATCTATGCATTAAAATCATTTGATGCATCGTACTTAATTAGCTTATAAGTCAAATTAATTTCAGAATAAAAAAATTAATTTCAGACATTCAAAGATTGATACATTGGTCATCTATCCTTAACCTATGTTATCATTTTCATAAAGTTTGTTGTTGATTTGATATCAAAACTAAATAACCCATCATATGTTAACAATAATGAAATCCTTCAAATAATTCATTAAAGACTTAATTTCAAATAAAGGAGGGCAAACACATTTTTCATTAAGGGATTTTAATAAATTTTAATAACCAATTAAGAGTTCATGTATCATGTTAGCTTCCACCTATGGAAGCCATGGTTGTATAAGTTTTAATAACTTTTAATCAAACCTTAATCATACATTTATCATATACATTATGTTTGATTTTACTTGGAGGGCATGTGTATTGATTTGAAAGATCCCTTTTATTCCCTTAATAAATCATTAATAAATCTTAAATCTTTTGTGGCAATCTATCCTATATGGGGGATGATTGTATTTCATTTCTAAGCCTAAGGATCTGTAGGTTAGTAGCCCTTAGACTTAGGCTTATTAATCTACAAATTCTTTAAAATTAAATAACTAACTTCAATCATTAAAACTTAAATAGTCAAATTCTATTTCATATAAGATAAACTTTAACTAAAATTCCTTTTTGTCCTTAATGAACAAACATTTTAAATTGATGCAACTTAAACAATAATTTTTTATATATCATATAAAAGTGACACAATCTCCTTCACACACTTTGATGGTTTACTAGGATAACCAACTATATCCTAGGTTAGGCCAATACGTGGTGTGAATTGCTTGCTTGGTGTTTTATTTGGAGAGCACTGTATGTATGTTTATTTATTATATGCAATTTGGATGTCATGCATTTTAATTTATGTTGGTGCACATATGCTCTTTAAAGACTGCATTATAAATTTCTAAGAAACTTTTGTAGTTAGTAAATTTAGTTAGGTAAATCTAAATAAGATAAAATTTAGCGTTTTTAGCGAGTTGTCTCGTTAGTGTCATTTGAACTTTAAGTTAAAACGACTCATCTTGAGTAATTGATTTAGAGTCTAATCTAATATTTTGATCTCTTACGAAAGAGATGATCTTCTCATGCACTACATCTTGGATTATTACTTGTGTATAAGTTTATTAGATGACATCTCACTCTAAGCAAGCATAAGACCAGAGGTATATTCACACCTCAGTTTCTTTGTTTTATAATTCAAATAAATTTTCTATAAAATTTAAAAGTATTTTTTGAAGAAATGATTGATATCTTCAAAATATATGAGACAACATTAGTATATTTTAAAATAAAAATGAGTCTAATATTCACTTTAATTAAAAGTTTTCTCTTCAGAGATGTAATTGATTGTAGGAACTTGCCTCTATAAAAACCTAGGATCTCGGTGTAAAATAAATCATGTTATAATTCACTAAGTTAGAAGGAAAATCTTTTGGACGTCGACTAAAACTAATCCTGTGTTAATCTCGTATTTAAAATGATAGGTAAATGTGAAATTTAACCTTTAGGGTAATCTTTACATTCTCTATGCCGAGTATAAATATGAAAATAAATTATTTCTTTCCTCAAATCGGCAATCCAATATTTTTTTGTTCATTGTGGTAATTAAAACTAATTATGCAGGTTGTCTAAAGAAATATTAAATATCAAATTTGTGGTAAATCAATTGTTAATTTTGTCCACAAGCCACTAAACCCCCTCCCTAAAAAAAAAATATTAAGGTAATTAATGAGAAAAGAATGCAGACACTAAGAAAGAAAATGACTAGATGGCAGCCAGTTTAAAGAACAAGAAGATAAAAACATGGATGCAAGCACCTCATTAAGGGAATGCCCAAGATCTTATAGAAAAAAGGCACATCATAGTAGATAGACATGCCTAAATAATGATAGACTAAAATCCGGGCCAATAAAGTCTTTAAAAAAGGAGGTTTAGCGAAAGAAAATGACCAGATTGTAACTAGTTTAAAGAATAAGAAGATGAAACTACGGATACACATCATTAAACGAATGACCAAGATCTTACAAAAACAAAGCCACATCATAGTAGATAGACATGCCTAAAAAATGATAATAGGAAGAATAAAATTAGATCAGAGCGTATAATATTTTTTAGAAAAGGAGGGTTAGCAAAAGAAGATTAACTGGGAAAGAAAAGGACAAAAAGATTGAAGCACTAGGAATGCCAGGAATAATGGCTTGATTGGGATAATGAACGAGGAATCCAGGTATGGGAGCCTTGCAGTGTTTAGATCCTCAATGTATAGTGATAGGTTTCATTTGACAAAGGTGTTTATTCATGTTTAAGTGCTTGCTTAATTAACTTATCATCTGATTATGAAAAAAAATATTTTGGAAGTAGTTTAATAAAACCAAATTATCCCAAAACAAAATGACCCTATGATTGCACTTGCCATTCGTAATTCGAGAGAAAATATTTGGAGAGAGTCCTTGATGACAAAAAAGATCTTCATTCTAGTCAGTTTTTTCATAAGTGCCAAAATCCTGTGAAGTAGATATTGTGAACAGTAGAATTTTGAAGTAATTTTTTTATATATATACACACAAAGACACAGACACAAGGAGATATTTTATATCTGTAACCTACATCACATATATCTTATATGCAAAAGCAATGCATTTTAGTACTAAATATAAAATAAACTTAGATCTTGCTCTATATTATCTTTAGAAAAGGAGGGATAGCGAAATTAAATTACCATATTGTATCCAGTTTAAATAATAAGAAGATGAAACCATGGATACACTTAGTTAAGGGAATGCCTAAGATCATACAGAAAAAGACACATTATATATAGTAGATAAACATGCCTAAACAATGATACCTAGGCCAGGACAAAATAGACTTAGATCTGGACCTATAATGTCTTTAGAAAAGGAGGGTTAGTGAAAGATTCAAGCACTAGGATACAAAATGGAGCTAATTAAGGTGTTAAATACCAAATTATCCCAAAATAAAATGATACTGTGAAGTAGATATTGTGAATAGTAGCATTTTGAAGAAAATTTATATATATTTCAAAGTAGTTTTTCTCCTGTATTTTTTATTAGAATATATTTTAATTTTATATATTATCTTATAATTAGTGCATTCGTGATTAAATTTTATCAATGTGCATCTCATTTAATTTTTTTTCCCACTACACTATTTCTTTTAATAAAACAAACTACAAAATAAGCTTCTTCAGAAGAAAATATATAAATAAAATCTACCTTTTTTTTTTGGGTAAAATTAAGGGCAAAGCCCATTCTATAAAAGAAAGCGATTACAAAATGCTAACAAAAAAGTGCTTAGCCAACAAAAAAAAAGAAAGGCTAAGGCAGAAAAGTAAAAAAAGGAAATAGTTACATTGAAGAAGAGGAAGACCAAAAAAGACAGATAAATCTACCTGTTAAGTTTGTATTCCACGCAACAGTTGGAAGTACAGACAACTTAACAGTTCAACTGCAACCATTTCTGCAAGTCTTCTGACCAAATCATTGCATCATTATTTCATGTCAGTGAAGTCAATGCAAAGACCCTTCAGAGAATCATGCAATTATATAAATTGTAGAAACCAAACATGGAAATATAAAAACCAAATGTTTTAATATTTAAATAGCTAGTACCTATTTATATATGCACATCAACTTACCTATTCAACTACAAATCTAGCTCTTATTAACGTTAAGTTTGCGCACCCAACAACATTATAACAGGTAATGTATCATAGTGTATATTGAGGCTTGTAGCATTGATATATCAAGTCAGTCACTTGATGTTATTAATGTAATGATCTTTAGCAGCAGCAGGAGCAGTTTGAGCATTCCATTCCCATAGCTTCTCGGAAATAGTAGATAACGAGACATGCACTGAGTTGAGGCTAGGATGAAGAAGCTGGTACTGTGATGATTGCAGGTTCTGTATTTCATTGTTTTGCGGCATAAAACTATGGTTATTATAGCCTACTAATCTTTGGAGTTCATCAACTTCCTCAGTCCCCATTGCCATAGGATGACAAGAAACAATAGAGTTGGAGGACTTGGAAGAATTATCTGCGTTATTTGAGTGGAGTAGAGAAGGATGATCTTCTTCTAGGAGGCTACTTGTGATAGGATAGAGTTCATGAAGCTTGATGTTGTTGCTAACGAAGATATGGCCTTTATCAAACTTTTGGATTTCGTCATCTTCTTCAAGTATTGTGAAGCTTGATGATGGTTGTTGAGTTGAGTGCTTTAGCGAAGATGTCTTGCATGGAGGGAGTCGTCGATTCTCGTCTACTCCAGCCCTTTTGTACACACGACATAAGGAGATCTCAGCCTGCAAACTCCTTTAATATTGTGAAAATTTCATATAAAGCTTAATAGAAATTAAGGTATAGGAAGGATTTTTTGAAAAGTCGGTTTTGAAAGGATTATTGTTTGTTTGTTTACAGTAATGATGACTCTGCATTGATAAAAAAAAATAATAATAATAAAAGAATTGATCAAGTTGGAAGACGCCTGCAAATCATAAGCATGATAGGACTAATAATAGGAGTGAATTTTTAGTTAGAAATTTTTTTTTTTTTTGAACAAAAGATCAACTCTATATAAAATCAGACAAGAATGTATTTGATTTTAAAACTGAGGGCTGAGGAGTCAATGGAATGAGTAGGAATAGAAGAAAAAGTGAAATGGTTTAGTTGTATGGCTGAAGCAAGAGAAGTAGATCGATAAATCTGGATATATGAGGAGGAAAATTAAGTGAAGAGGGAATACGTCGAAGAAGAAATTTAGAGTTTAGAAAGAAAGTTTACAAGTTTACAATAAAAAAATAAATGGGTGTTCCACGGAAAAAAGAAGAAGAAGAAAAAAAAAATGTTAAACGAAAATTATCAAAAAAATCAATATTTTCCCCATGAAGATGTAAAAAAAAACGAAAGCCTCCAAAAATAAAATAGAAGAAACAAAAACTTGCAAAAAGACATGATCATTTCAGCTTAATAAAAATAGAAAAAAAAATGTAAGAAGTGCATGATGTTATAAATTAAGCAAAAAATTCACTCTTCGATGTACTAAGTAAACCTAATTATGTCAAGATGAGAAACTTTAATCTTTGGAAAAATAATCACCTAGCCAGTTTAGGTTTAGGGCATGAATAGATGTAAATATAAAAACAGATGAAGAAGGGGAAAAACAGCTATCATAAAGAAAAGAATTATCTCAAAATAAATAAACAGAACCACTGATCAACAAAATGAAACCCTAAAAGGAAAATGGTTGAAAGATTGATTTACAGATGAAGCTGAAGCAAGAGTTATAGCTGGGAATATATGACACAAATCTGCTATATATTCAATTTTGAATAATAAAATTGTCTGTAAAGCAAAAGAAAAGTAAAAAAAAAAAAAAAACTTGATAAAAAAGAAAAAGAAACACACAACATGATACAAAAATAAATAGAAAAAAAAAAAAAAACGGGTAGGCTGGAGAAGAGAAGGCTATGGGATTAAAAAGAAAGGGATCCAGAAAGCCTATACGATAAATCATAAAAAGATAAAATCATTTTCTACGACATACACTTCTCTATCATATCTGTGATTTCTATGAGATCTGAAATCCAAAGTAAAGCTCAATCTTACCTTTTTAAATCTATCAGTTTCGCTCTGCGGCAACCTGTACTCATTCATAATCCAGCTTGTTCTTATTCCTTTAGGAGCTTTCCCCGTGTAAAAAACCAGCGTCTTCTTAAGCCCAATAGATCTGAAGTTCTCGTTCCTTATCATCCTATCAGCTCCTGTAGCTTTCCAGTACCCAGAAGTTGTTACTCGATTTGGCCTATCACCATTCCTGTATTTCCTATCTCTTGGAACATAGAAAAACCACTCCTTCTCACCAATTGCTGCCAACGCTGAAAACATTAATGACCCTTTTCAGATCCGAGATCAATTAAGCATGGAAAGAGTTAATACAGTAAACGATTTAATTAACCTGGAAGTTCCCATGGATCATATCTGTAGAGATCTAGAAAAGTGATGAGCTCGACGTTGAAACGCTTGCCTTCTACTTTGCGTCGGAGGTAGAATTCGATGAGCTCTTCCTCTGTTGGGTGGAAGCGGAATCCGGGCATCACAAGGTCATGTTCATGGCCGTCCACATCTTTGCCTTCATCATTCCTCATGGCGGCAGCAATCGCCATGCACTGTCGCCGTCCACTGCAACCCAGCCGGAGATCTAGCTAGCTAGTTCTCTGGTAATTAAGAAGAAATATTTGGTCTTCAAGTTGCCAGACTCCTTTAAGTGTTTGGAGTGGTGCAAGTGGTAAGGAGAAGAAGGAAGGAGTGGCTAACTCATTTTAGATAGCATGATATGATTAAGACAATTATTATGTTGTTTTTTTTTACTATCATTAATGCCAATATCTCTCTCTATCTCCAGAGAATTCTCGCTGTCAATGTAAAATAGAGAAGAGAGGCGGAGTGGGTGGTGCGGTTTCGAAGATATTGATTATATATATATATATATATATATAAGGATATTGATTATATTTTATTATACATAGATTTATAGAGATTATAATTACACTTTTTTTTTGTTACTCTTCATTTTAAATACATATTAATTCTAGTGATTTATATTTGCTGCGTTGGATGTTATTTGTTTTATCTTATTATATATTTTTACATAGAGTATAATTACAATTTTTATTTCTAATTTTTCATATTAAATTTTGAAGGGGGGGGGGGGCAATTGCAAGTGGTTCCGCCCTTGAGAATTAGTACATTAATTAAAACTTTAAAATAAAAGAAATTTAAGTCCTATAATTATTACCCTTTAAAGATATAGCCTATGGAACTCATATGTCTCTTCATTGAATAAAAAATAAAATAAAATAGTGTTATCATCTTATAATTGCTAAATACTTTTAATCATCTTAATTTTGTGCTAGCAAAAATGGAAATGATAATGGCTTCACTAAGATTACTCTAAGGATTGATGCAATGGGGGATGAGCTAAAATGAACAATGTAAAAGGCGTATTCTACATTTTACAGATAATAGTTCTTTGTTTAGACCGATCAAGTGGGCTCTTGGTGATGTTAATCCTTAATTAGTGGAGGGCTTAAGCTTTGAAGTAAACCTATTGGGTGGTCTTATTTATTATTACATAATAGATATAGATTTAAATGTTCATATGATACATGCAATAATTTTAATTTTGCAAATATATAGTGTATTTCCTTTATTACTGCATTTAAAATTTTTTTGTCACTTTGAGCATATACTTTTAATCATCATTTTCGTATTTGTAATTTTATTTGGGTTACTTGTATAGTTAGTGGATAAAATGGAGCATGTGTAGTTGAGTTAATACATTATATTATACTTGATACGTCATCGAAAATTACTTTGGTCGAGCACGAATCTCGAGGTATATTCCAGTTGGAAATTTTCAAAATTCAATTTGGGATCATCTGAATTCCAATTTCAGCAAACTTATAGTCAAACAGAACATCTCAAATAGATGAACCTAACGACATAAAAATTGGTCAAACCCAAGCCCAGATGAGTCCAAATCGGTGGCACGGACCACATTTGGAAGGGTGAAAGTATTATTTAGATGAAAAAATGATATTCAAATATAAAATGCTTATAATCAAATCGAGCGGCTCAACGAGACAAATCCAACGAGCACAAGACCACCGAATTCTGACATCATTAAGACCTTCAAATGTCTAGTGAACGGTTCATGATCAAGGGATCTAACATTGGTCATCCATCCAAACCACTCCTCATTTACCCTTGATTTTCCTCTTATTTATGGGCCATGCCACTTTAGAAAATCTATAAATAGACCCCGTCCATCTAAATGAGGGGGGTTGGGGCTAGAGATTCGAGAGAGCTCCGAAGCCTCAAGAGCTACAGCACCGCCGACCGTCGTCGGACTTCTACTCGGCTAATGATCACCGCCAATCTTAAGCCCAACTGTCGTCGCACTATACCTCCCGGCTGATAACCACCATCGGACTTCAGCTCGACCATGGTCAGACCACCGCCCTGCCGCCGACCGCCGTCAGGCTTCCACTTGGCTACCGACCACCGTCAGACTTTAGCCCAATCGTCCTCAGACCACTGCTTGACCACAAACTACCGCCAAACTTCCACCCGGCTGCTGACCGCCGCGGGACTTGTGTCTGACCTCAGTAGATCCACCACCTGGCCGCCGACCATCGCCGGACTTCATCTAGAACACCATTGGACCACCTCCCGAATGCCGACCACCACTGGACTGTGACGCCCCAGGCATCCATAGTGAAAGGATTCGTCTGACATTCTGATCGAACTCCATTCTAGTTGCCTTGCTCGGACCTGAAATTATCAACCACATATAATGAGCTTACAAAGCCCAGCAGGTCACCAAAGCCTACAACTGAAATCAAAGCACGGCGATGCTATCAATATGCAGATCAATCAAATCAAGTTAATCAATGGTCAATGAGTCTATGCAAATGCGGAAATCCATAGTCAATGAAACCAGTCAATGCAGCGGCAGGCAAATCGATCATTTCAATTCAATTAATCAATATCCGTCAATCAAATCAATACGGTCAAATCAATGAAATCAGTCGAGAAAAGCAATACGGAACAATGAATCTATACGACAGTCAATACGGTACAAAAACAGTAGGCAGTAGTACGATGTCCATGTTCATGCTATCAATATAGTATCTATATCTATCAATGTCCATATCAATGCTCAGTAG